AGAGAGAGAGAGAGAGGGAGCTGTACCAGGGAAAAATTGTCAAGACAAAGGACTGAACAGTCTTTAGGGAAACAGCGGAGAGTACATTGAGTTTTTATACCGGTTTATGGTAGCCGAGCTGTGACACTAGCGGCGGGAAGCGGCCAGGTAAGTGTTCGGTCAGAGAAAACGAAGTTAAAAGACGCGAAGGAAGCGCTGTGGTTGTGTTTGCTGTAGACACGGGAGTCACGTCGAGCAGCCAGAAGATTAACGCCAGATATCTGTTACTATCATGGATTATTTTCATCTGTACATGTAGGGTTTCGGAGTACGACAGCGGCTGTGCCTCCTTAACGGACTGTACGCTCTGTGGTGTGTGTGTCCTGGTTTGTACGGGGCTGTTGTCATATTCTGCTAGCTCACTTACAACAGCCTGCTTCCTCTATCCAGTCCAAGCTGCTGGATATGTTTACCTTCTTCTCATTTTGGGGGGGGGGAGCGGGTAGCAGCTTATAATGTGATCTCAGCTATCTATCAGCATTGACCCAATCACTGTTGTTTTTTAGGTGTTGTTTAAGGTGTTTGGCTGCTGTTAACCTTGAGTGAGCAGTTCTTAAGATGTCATTTTGGGCTCTGCTAACTTGTGGTGGGAATAGTTTTTTATTTAAAATGAGCTTTTATTAGCTTTTCTTTCTTTCTTTCTTTCTTTCAGGGGTTATTCGGGCACCCGTCACTGCTGGGCATCACATCTCCCTTGTTGTCTGCTCCAGTGGAAGTGAGGCTTCATGGTCAGCAGCCTGGTGATGGAAAGAACTGCACAGCTATAAGCTCGGTGACTGGATGGAAAGAGCTGTCAGCGCGCTCGCAGAAGATGGAGGAAGTGGAAATGCACAGACAGCAGCGGCAGTTTGATTGACGACACCGCTGTGGTGTTGTTGGAGGAGCGATCTTTCATTTGGGATCACCTGGAGTATCTTTGTTGTGAGACTTCTGCTGGCAATCCAGTGTGGAGTTCCAGTTTTTCCCCCCCTTCCTGCTGACCTGTTTTCACATCTCTCCTTCAGAGCGAGCAGGTGTTGCTGTGTTAAACAGCCACAGGTCTCCAATTTACCTCGCAACCCCCTCCCCTCCCTCGACCGTACACAGAGACACACAAGCTCCTCTCTTCCAAGCGGCTGAGAGGTTGCTATGGCAATGGTTGTCATGATGCTGATGTAGCGTCCTGAAGGTGGTAGTTGTGGAGGTAGTGGTGGAGCCGGAGGAGGTGGTGCCGGCGGCGGCGGCGGTGGTGGTGGTGGTGAACGTCCAGGGATGGGAAGCGCTCCGTATCCAGCCGGTGAGTGGAAGGGGAAGGGGCGAGGCGGCCTGCAGGAGCTGGGCTGCATGCGCTGGAAGGTCGGCAAGCAGAAAGGAGGAGGAGGGGGAGGAGGAGGAGGGGAGGTGGTGGTGGTGGGAGCGGAGGAGAGGAGGTCCAGGGATCCCACGGACTCGCAACAGCAGCAACAGCAGGATCTCTCATCCTCCTCTTCCTCCCTCACCCCCCCACCGCCTCCTCAACCCTCTCTGACACCTCCGGCCATTTATCATGAGAAGCAGCGGAGGGAGCTGTGCGCCCTGCACGCGCTCAATAACGTCTTCCAGGACGGGACAGCCTTCAGTAGGGACACCCTGCAGGAGATATTCCAGAGGTGGGGGGAGCTGGTATACCCGTCTACATTCATATTTAGTCCGTGCACATGAAACATTGTAGATAATCTGTTAATCTTTCTTGTCAACTCGTTACAGGCTTTCTCCCAGCACTCTGGTGACACCTCACAAGAAGAGCATGCTGGGAAATGGGAACTATGACGTAAATGTCATTATGGCAGCCCTGCAGACCCGAGGGTTTGAGGCAGTTTGGTGGGATAAAAGAAGGTAAATAGGGCTGACGCTGAAAACGTCTATTGTCTTTGTTCTTGCACTAGACAGTGTAGTTGAAGGAGGTAAAGCTTTTATTTATTTTTAGATTTTCATATCAGAGCTGCAGTCTATGTTTTCCCTGCTGTCCTTCGTTGTTTTCCTAAAATTATCAGTATGAGGCTCAGACAGATGGAGCCTATAACCCAAAGCAAACCTGTCTTCATCCTGCCTGTCTTGCTTCTTTTGTTATACGTGTGGCGAACAGAACGTTAACACAAGGTAAATGTTGCAAGAGGCTTCCCTGTGTCCTCATCTGGACCTCCGTTAGCTAATCAGCAGGGCCTCGAATGATCTGTTTGATTAGTCAGCAGTTTCATCAGTTGACAAAGTCTAGGAGACAGTTTTATCAGCATTCCTGCTTCCCTCATTAACGAGCTTACATGACTGTTGACAACAACAGCAGCCAAAGACTTGCTTGTATCAGTGAAAGGTTAGCGTTATCAGAAAAGCCGTATTCCTGTTTTTCTGTCTTTACCAGAACAGGAACAAAATCATAGCTACCACTAATCTACTGACAGAAACAACAATGGTACTCTGTTGCTGATTGATACAACCACAGTTATTAAAACTATAGCGTGTGATTAAAGCCTTTCCATTTTTGACATTGTAAATATTCAGTAGTGATTAGGGTTCCACCCAAAGACAAATAATCGTTTGTATAATAAGCCGCTTTGTACAATGTACTGTAGATTTCCCGTCATAGCGTAAGACATGTTTGTCAAATATATCAAAGCTATGTTTGTGATGTACTTATGAAGGCCTGGGACTGTTTTTATAACTCCTTGTTGGTGTATTCAAGCACTTTTGGGAAACTGACAAACAAGTTTGAAAGTTGTACATGTTGCTGTATTTGTTAACAACAAGAAACCTCTCTACAGTTTGGTACAGACCGCTTCATCTCAGTCAGCAAAATTAGAATAGAATGGAATAGAAATGGCTGGCAGTAGTTTATATAATTCATCTTAAACATATAGTGTGCTAGAGAAAATAGTTAATGGCAATGTAAGGTAGGGATGGGAAAAAGAATCAATTCACTTAAGTATCGTTATTTGTAAAAAGCTCCTGAATCAGTATCATTTAAATTCAGTTTGCTTTATTTTAGTTCAGCTTGTATATGAAGGATGTTAATTTAAAGGCTCACATTTGTGCTGTGTGCAGTTTTCAGGGGCTCTATTAATTCTGGCCTAACATCTTATTTTATTTACCGCTTTTATATGCAGTAGAGCAAAGATGGTGCTCAAATAAAAACTGACTGACCTGCATTGTTTTTGGAAATATGAGTCATGATAGACAGGCTCCAGAAGTGAATGATCTATCTTTTTCCCATGGTTTAGTGTTGGAAAAAGTGAACAATAATCGCAGTAAACCGTAATATCGAATTGCAATACATGCCTTAACTGGCAGCCAATCCTCTGCCTCCTTGCTCCGACACAAACGGGAAGTTTACAAACCATAAATGTCGCCTCTCTTCCTCCAGGGATGTAGGCAGCATCGAGCTGTCCAACGTGACGGGCTTCATTCTGAACGTGCCATCCAACCTGCGCTGGGGGCCTCTCCGGCTGCCGCTCAAACGCCAGCACTGGATAGGAGTCAGAGAGGTGGGAGGGGTCTACTACAACCTGGACTCTAAGCTGCGTAGCCCTCAACCCATCGGCAACCCGGATGAGCTCAGGTGAGAGTGATGGGATGTGTGTGTGTGTTTCTACTATGACCAGAAATATTGAAAAACTGTACCACATGTGGGAATACACCACTTTTCTCCCTTTTTAGCTGCAGGGGTTTGATTATGTTGGTGTGTCTGTCTCACACTCTAGACTAAGATTTATTATAACTATAGTATTGGACAGATTGCTTTGAAATGTGATATTCAGTCGGGCACTTACCTCTGTGACTTAATGAACACTTTCTGCAGCTGTTCCCCAGTAAAAGCTTTCACAGCTGGAAGCCTTTTTTTTTTTTTATTGTGAAGCAGCTGCAGGAAGTGTTGAGTTTGCAATAGATTAACACTGCAGCACAAATCATTACAGCTCTGATAACAAAGAAAAGGATAGCGGAGCAGAAAATAGCTCAGCTCCTGTCTTTTAGATTTAGAGTAACGACTGCTACATTAAAGAAGAACTACCGAACTGAACATACTTAATTTTTTTTAAAATAGCAAATTCTCTGTTGCCTGCACAAGGTCATTTTAATGTTATGATTTTTAACTTGGACTGTTTTCTTAATCCTGCTC